CCTCCTTGGCCCTCCATGGCCGGCCGGTCCAGCGCCTCCAGGAAGTCGAAGCTGCGACAGTGGCGCTTGTTGAAAGGCGTGGGCGCAGCAGGCCGGGCCATGGAGCGCTCACATGTCGGGCGCCGCGACGCGGGGTCCGGGGCCGCCACCTTGATGTCCTGGTACACGGTTGACACCAGCAGGTCCGGTGGGTCCGTGCGGGTCATCTTAAAAGAAGTCCCCAGGCTGGCGGCTCCAGTTCACTTGGCCTGGCGGGGCTTTCGCCCTGCGGAGAGGAGGCGGGTCAGGGACCCCTCCTCACCCGCCCGCCAGCCACCCCCGCGCTGGCCCGGCTTACCTGGGGCGCAGCGGGCACAGCAGCCCTGGCAGTGGGCCATGGCCGCCTGCTCCATGCCGCCGTCAGAGGCACCTGCAGGAGGAACCCACCGGTCCAGCCAGGCAGGCGATGCAGTTGCCCTGGTTCCCTGTTCCTGTTCCCGCACCCCCCCGCCCCGTACCCGGGCTCTGCCCCCTGCCTGCAGGCTCAGGTGGACTACCATCCCCGGGCCAGGCCCTGCCAGCTGGTGGGACAGTGGGGACGTGGTCCCAGAGCCCAGGCTAGATAATCGGGTGGGCACTTCTTTCTGGGTCTTGCAAACTCCAGCTTTGGGTGACAGCATCCCCTCCTAACGCCTCCTGCAGAGCGACCCCTCCCACGTGCACTGGCCTGAGGTGAGTCCAGGCCTTAATTAACTGCAGACATTTCCCTCCCCACTTCTGACCAGGCTGCGCACAGACCCTCCCCAGGGCTGCAAGGCGGCTGCACTCCGCGGCGCCACCGTCAGAAGCTTGAGTCCTTTCTGCACCCCGAGGCGGCTGCCTCGCCCCTGCCCCTGCGGGCTGGTCCGTGCCAGGAGGATGCTCTAGGAGGACACACGGCCCTAAAGTCCCAAGTCCTTTGCAGAAACTTTCTTGGATCCCAGAGATTTTTTGGGTGGTTGAAACCCACCAAGTTAGTTGGGGCTGGCACGACAAGGCCGGCAGAGCGACCCCTACAGCTTTGCGTAAATGCACAGACACCCCACAGCGCGTGCCCACCGCCTGGCAGAGGGAAACCGGGCCCGGGTGCAGGACCACGTGGGGGGACGTGTGAGCTGAGCTCATGGCCACCGCGCGCCCAGCCCGCGGTCGCCAGTCAGGGAGCCAGGAGGGGCAGGGGGAGGCGGGGCAAACCCTCTCCTCCACGGCTCCGCGGCGAGGGCCCGCCCCCAGCGCGCCGGAAGGCTCCATGGAAACCACGTATCCGCGGCCCCCACGCTGCAGGCTGGGCCGGGGCCCCTCGCCGGCTACACTCAGATGCGGCCGCGGCCCCTCTGGGGTCCCCGGGGGCTGGGATGGAGGCGGGGGCTCCACACAGCGCCTGCGCGTCGGGCCGGGCGGGGTGCTCAGGCGGTCACACGCGACCCTGGAGGCCGGCTCCCATCGAGGAGGGGTCGCGGTGCCGTAGCAGCGTGCTGGGTGGAGGGAGTAAAGGGAGGGGAAACAAGAGGCCGCCCCTCACCTGGCAGGACCTCGGTGGACGCGGCGACTCGGGTCTCATTGGGTCAGCCCTCTGGGGACCCGTTGTGCAAGGGCTTCCTGTCGTCACGGCCTCTGGGTCGTGGCCACCAGGTCACAGTCCCTGTCCCCATCCCAGCCTCGTGCCCGCCCCCAACTTTGCCCCAGGTTCGCAGGACCATCCCCACTTTCCCTCCCCCTCCATCCTAAGCTCAGAGCCAGGCCAGAATCAGGGCCGGTGACGGCGCGAGGCTCCGCCCAGGGAAGTGGCAGCGCGGTCCTTGCCGGCGAGGCTGTCAGCAGCTGGACGCGATGACAGCTCCTCTCCGGGCGTGGGCTCGGCCCCCTTCGGGGTCCCAGGCTTCCCTGAGCCCTCGCGCTCGGCCAGCCTTCCCCACCGCGCGGCTCTGCCCCAGGCCCCGGCCAGGGAGGCCCTGGCAAGGGCCCGGCCGGTGTCGCCGGGGGCGAGGACTCCCCATCCTTGCGGACGGCCGGGGACGGTCCCGACCCGCGACTGCGGCGCACCAGCGGCGCGGCCCCCGCCCCCTACCTGGCGTTGCTCCGCTGCCGGAGCCCGGGGTGGGCTGCGCAGCCCCGGCGCCGGCACCTCAGCGTCCCCGGCGCCGGCAGAAGCTTCGAGGCAGCGGCGCCGCTCGCCGGCCGACAGCTCACTGCTGCCCCCGGTGGCGGCCGAGGGGGCGGCACTTAAAGGGGCCGCGCCCCAGGTGGGGCCTTGCGAGGCTGGGCCCGTGCCGGCGGATGGCGACGAGTCCCATCGGGTCCCCAGAGCGCACGCCTAACTCGGGACCGCGCCGGTCCTGCCAGGTACCACCTCCGGAGCGGGGCAGCTGGCCTGGCGTGGGCCTTGGAGCAGGCCCTGGAGGAGCCCAAAGCCTGGCTAGGCTGCGGACACTGGGCATGGGCTCCGGAATTGCCCTTTCGGCTTGGGCCCGGGCAGAGCAGATGGGCAGCTCCCTGCCCGCCAGTCCCCTCCCCAGGACCCATCCGCCACGGGGGCTGAAGTGCCAACACCACAGCAGGCACTTTGGGGCCAGATGGCCACACAGCCCTTGGTCCAAGCATCCGGCCAGGGCAGGCCCCTGCACCCAGACAAGGGCTGTCACTGCCCAGGACGGGTCTGCACCAGGCCCTCTTGTCAACCGCAGGGTGATATTCTGCTGCAACCCTGCCAGCCCCTCTCCATAACAAGACGCTGAACCTCAGGACAAGTCTAGCTTGGCAGAGGGCCAGCCCTGGTGCTCTTGCTCTGGAGGGGGAGCAGCCACTATCGGGTACCTGGCAGAGGTGGTGTTTTGCCACGGGTCCTGACAGGGTCACCTCCTCCAGACCCCAGTCCCCACATCAGTGAGCAGACAGCCCTGACCTCACAGGCTGGGGCAGACTAGGAGGGAAACCTCCACGGAGCTCAGTGTGCTGTCTGGCCCACTGTGTGTGCTCAGTAAATGCCTCCCGTCCCCGAGAATGGGAGGGTGGGGAGGTCGTGACCAGGAGGGGTACACCCAGCCGCCTGGCCAACACCCGGGGCAGGAGGGGGCCTGGCCGTGCCCATATCCCTTGGCCCACGCTCTGGTTTGGGGCAGAGGACCTGCTGCTTAGCCTCCTCTGGAGGAGGGGCGGGAGCCAGCATCAGGCGCTGTTCCCAAGGCAACAGTGGAGGCAGTGGGAGGCACTGGGAGCTGCCGGCAGCTGGAAGGGCAGGGGCTGCAGGGGAGTGCCCAGAACCGGGCAGAGAGGTGGCTACACACCTGCCCAGAGGGCTGGGCCACAGTCTTCCTGGGGAGCAGCTACCCAACCCCTGCCTAGGGGCCAGGACACGCCAGGCCCATGGGCATGCCACTCAGCTGGACAGATGGTGTGTGGCGGGCTAGGCCTGGCTACTGGCTGAGCTAGTGGGGTCTCAGTCCTGGTCTGGGGACCACCCCCAGTCCCCCGCCCACAGTGCAGCAGGGTCCCCACCTGGGGTGAAGGGCAGGTAGCTCCGCACATACAGAGACCCCTTTACCAAGGTCAAGGGCCGGGGGTGGGGCTGATGGGCAGGTGTCTTCCAGCTGGAAAAGAGGTGCCAGGTTGTCTCACAGCCCAAGAACCCCGGCCTTTCTGGGGAAGGGCTCCATGTGGCCCACAAGCAGGGCGCTCAGGACTTCCTGCCAACCCACAGCAATGGGGGGGGCGGGGGGGTCAAAAGATGGTGTCCCCAGGGAGGGGGAGAGCAAGCTGAGGAGCTGGGCAGGTCCCAGGCTGGCCCCCTGGGCTGCAGGTGCCCAAGGGGTAGGGAGAGAAAACAGGACACAGCATAAAACAGGAGAGCTTTATGGTCCAAATGGAGATGAGACTGGGGAGCACCCGGCTCCAGCCCTGGATGCCCACCACAGCCGTGGCCAGAGATGGCAGAGTAGAAAAACAGTGGGGGAACTCGTCCCAGGAGGCGCTGCCTGTGCTGCTGCACCCCTGCAGCCCCGCCTAACGGGCTGGGGGCTGCTCTGAGGGACCAGCGCGTCCTCCCTGGAGACCGGCCGCGTGGCCGAGGGGGTGTCGTCTGCATGTAGTGGCTGCGAGTGGGTGGTGGGTGTGCGCCCAGGGCAAGCAGGAGCGGGAGCTGGGGTGTCGGCATCCCAGGAGTCCGAGCGGTGTGCCCCCTGTAAACAGACCCTGCAGCTCCCTCACAGGCCTCAGTCACATCCCTGAGAAACGCTGCCCCACCCGCCACAGGCACAGCCCCGTGGGGCCGGCTGCCGCCCGGGGCCTGCTGCACAGGGGGCTTCGCCGGGCCTCTCCGGCAGGGAAGCTGGGCTGTGGGAGGGGTGGTGGGTCACGCAGGCGGGCCTTCCCATGCCACCCGCTGCAGCGTCACCGCCAGGACAGCCAGGTCCCACCCCAGCGGCCAGGCCTAGAGCTCCTCATAGTCCCCGCCCCCGCGGTGCTGGCTGCCGGGGGCCCCGCCCCCCAGGAAGGCCTCCAGCTCATCCCCGGCCTCCTTGCTCCGAGGCGCCTTCTTCTTTCTCTTCTCGCTGCCCTCCTCCTTCTCCCTGCTCTTCTTGTGCTTGTTCTTCTTCCTCGTGGCCTTTCCCTCCTCCTGGGTTGAGGAGGGAGAGCGCAGTCACCGGGGCTGCGGGGGCAGGGGCAGCCGCCCACCCCAGACTCGGCCCACCCCAGGGCGGTCCAAAGCCCACCTCCTTCTCCTTCTTCTTCTTCTTCTTCTTCTTCTCTCTGGAGGGCGGCTTGCCATCCTTATCTGCACAGATAACACAGGCGGGCGCTCTGCTCCGGTTCCCAGGGCATCTGCGCCACCCTGCGGGGGCCAGGCCCCCCCACTACAGGAGTGGGCAGCCGGAGGGAGAGGGGTCCCTGCCTCTGAGCGAAACTCTACCCCACACACCCTTCCACGGCCACTGTCCCCTCGACACAGGCCGTCTCCATAGCCCCTCTGCACCCCGCGTGGGACAAGGGCCCTGGGGCGCCCACGTGGGCAGCCGCTGACCACCACCTCACAGGGGGCACTGTAGCAAGGGCACCTCAGAAACGCATGGGTGGACCAAACCGAGGGCCCCTGCTGGCTGACCCCCGGCCATGAAGCTGTGCCGTGGACAAGCGACGGGCCTGGGCGCCCCCACAGGTGCACTAACATGCCACACCATTTGCTCCACCTGGGCCACGCCAGAGAGGAAGGCACTGTCCACCCACGTTTGAGGACAAGGTGCTTCTGCGACATGTCTGAGGTCATGCAGCCACCAGGGGCGGGGTGCCTGCCTGGGCGCTGGCTCGCCACAGTTGGCCGGGAGCAACCGAGTAGGCAGACCTCACCCTCCCCAAGCCTTCACGTGGAGGTGGCTATAGTGAGGGCAGGCGGGTCAGCACGTGTGACACCCAGGGTCTCACAGGGACATGCCACCAGTGACCCCTCCATCTGGCCCTGCAGCAACATGCCTGGGCAACATCAGCACGTCCAGCTTGTCTTTCCCTCAGAAAGTCGAGGTGTCATCTGAACGGGCCTGGGACAGGCAGCCCGTGGTCAGTGGTATACACCGGGCAGGCAGGCCTTCTGGGTCCGGCCCCAGGACAGCCCCCAGGACAGCCTGACCAGACGGCGGGCCTGCAGACGCAGTGGCCCGGCCCCTTCTCTGTCCTCGAAGCTCCTGTGCACTGAGTGACAGGCCCATGGCCCACGTAGGGGATGTGGACAAGGCCTGGTGGGCCCAGGCAGGCCCCGCACACCCAGCCCCGACCCAAGCCTCACCTTCGTCGCTGCTGTCCTTGGGGCCCGGTTCCCCGAGGCCCAACCCGAAGAGGTCGGTGTCGTTCTTGGGTCTGAAGGGGGACACGGGGAGCTGAGGTGGCTGGGCTGGTTGTGCTGGGGTCGTGTCCTCCTCAGTCAGGTCAGAGAGGTCCTCACGGACTGGGAACTCATTCTGGGAGAGGGATGGCAGATGGGTCAGAACTGGTCACAGCCAAACCTCCATGGAGCCCGTGACCCTCATGACCTGAGTGGCCGCCACCTGGCATCAGGGCCATCAGATCTGCTTGGTCGGGGGGAAGGCTGGCTTGGTCGGGGGGAAGGCTGGCATAGGGGGCTGGCCTGGAGACTGCCCTCTCGCTCTCCTGAGTCCAGGACTCCCTGCCCCCAGGTGCACTCTGGGGACAGACGGCAGGGGCTCCTGCAGGGCCGCCTGCCCGCTTGGGGTCCCAGCCTGGGGACTCTCCTGCCTGCCCTGTGCACTTGGGCGCTGGGCCTCAGGACAGACGAGGTGCCCTTGCCAGTTCTGACGAGGGCCCACCTGGTCACGTGCCCCCCGGGGTCTGGGGACATACCCTTTAGCTCAATGGCACGCCTCACCCGCCCCCCAGGATGCTGTCCTGCCCACAGTGACGCCACCAGCACGCGTCCCCACCAGGCGGCCTGGCCGGGTATCTCCTCACCACTCACCACTCTCCACGGCACGTCTGACTCCTCACTCTCGAAGTCGGGGTCATCCATGACGAAGGACAGCATCTGGGCGGCAATGGGCCCCTCAGGGTCGCTCTCTGATGATGCAGCCTGCTCGGCCGTGGCCCCCTCGGGTCTGCGGGAGGGGCCCCCAGTGGGGGCTGTGACCCTGGATGCTGGCACCTCGAGGGCAGGCCTCGCAGGTACTGAGGAACTGTCCGGCACCTGGGGCTCCTGGGCTTGTGAGGGCGCCGCCTCGGCCTGGGGCTTCAGGGTCTTTCTGGAAGATCTTTGGAGACAGGAAGGGGTCACGGGCCTGAAACCTCCCCATACTCCAGGCACAGGACCTGCTCGGTGGCCCCAAAGTCTCAGCAAAGAGCCACTCTGGGTACCCCGCTTCCTGCCCCCTTTACGGGCCACGCCCCCAGAGACCCAGACCCCCACACACCGTTTCATCTCTGGTTCCAGGCACGGCTGGGGGACCAGGACGGAGGCTCCGGGTGGACCCGTGGGCTCCTCAGCCTCCTCCTCACTAGAGAGAGTGACGTGCTTGCTGGGGAGGGGGTCCGCGGGCGGCGGGGGTCGGCTCGATGGCCTATCTTCCAGGTCCACGTCGTCCTGGAAACCTGCCACCATCGGGTTCCCGCCCGGGGCCTCCCCGTCGCTGCAAAGGGCGGGGGACGCGGTCAGAGGTCACTAAGTAGGGCAGAAGCCTTGCCAGCCCCGGCCCTGTACCCCGTCCCTGGGCTCTGGTGCCTCCAGCGTTTCTGACACTGTCGTTCAGGGGGGGTCAGATGGTGGGGGCTACTTTGGGGCAGTCACAGGGACGCCTGTGGAAGGGACCCACTGAGGTGTCTCAGCTGGAGATGCAGGCCAGGGGGGCCAGGCCAGGTGGGGGACGAGGCAGCAGAAAGCCCCCAGGAGTTTATGTTGTCTGCAGTGAGGAGGAGGGGAGCGTGTGCGATCTGTGCTTCCTGCAGCTTTGAGCAGAGGCTGGACCCTGCAGGTGCCCCTGCGAGCCAGTGGGGTGAGGATGCGGGGACCCCATGAGCAGTGACGGGGTGTCGGGGGGTGGTCCCTGGCTGTCTTATGTCACGTGTTTTTTGGGGGGTTGTGTAGTGCACACATGAGATGCGGGACAGACCCTGGGGTGAGTTCGGGGCCTGGCTGGATGCAGGGCAGGGGCTGCCGGGAGGGAGGGACTCACCCAGGGAGAGATCCCCAGCGCGGGACTAGGGTGGGGGGCGGAGCCGGTGTCCCTTCCTGGCAGATGTCTGCCCCCCACGTCCCCTCTGTGCTTTGTGACTGGTAACTCCCAGGAGACGCTAGGGACAGCCCCGGCTCCCCTCCATGCCTGCCCGATGGTGTCGGCCACGCCAATGCTCTCCAAGTGGAAGTAGCGGGAGGATGGCCCCCAGGCCGGGCACCATGACACCGCTGCCCTCCCTGTGGACCCCAGCCTCGTTCTTGTCTTCAGAGTCTGCCTGTAGCCAAGCCCCCAACCCCGTGGGCGGTGGGCTAACCCTGGGACTGGCCGTCTCTCTGCAGGGCTGGGGTGGCCCGGGGGATCGTGCTTCCGGGGGATTGTGCTGATAGGCCCTTGGCTGGCCTGGACCAGCAGTGCTGCCCAGTGCCCCTCAAGGACCCTGGGGCAGTGGTCTCCAACAGTGGGTCAGAGCAGCCTTCTCCCAGCACTCAGCACTCCTGTGGCATGGCCTGGCTGAGCGTCTCCCACCAGCTGACCCGCCCCTACCTGTCGCTGTCCTGCGGTGGGGCCTTCTTCTCGTCCTTCAGGGGAGCTGCATCCTCCAGGAAGCTGTGGTCCAGGCTGTCCTCAGGAACAAAGTCCTCCACGTTTGGGACCTTTGCTGGGGCCTCTGTGGACAATGCAGGCTCTGTGGGTGGCAGACACAGCTTGCCGTCACACACTTGCCCTGCCCCAGGCCCATAAGGCCACCCTGTCCAGAAAGGTGGTGGGCTTCCAGACACTCAGGGTCCACAGTGCATCTGGGACAGGTGAGGCCCAAGGCAGGAGCGGGGTCAAGAGGCTCCCTTGTCCCTGTGCAGACCCTGTGCCCACCTGTCCCAGGGGCTGCTGACGGGTGGGGAGGCTTCCTGCTGACGGGGGGGCTTCCTCCTGAGGGGGCCAGGGCCTACCTGGAGGGGTGGGAGCTGGCTCGGCCGCAGGTGACATCCCAAACAGCCGTGAGATGATGCTGCGCCGTTGGGGAGGGGCTGGGGCTGGGGTGTGGGGGTGCAGGGCCTCAGCTGGGGGCGCCGGGGCCACCAAGGGCACTGGGGTGGGGCAGGTAGAGGGGATGGTGAGCGGTGGCGGGGCGGGCTGCGGTGTGCCAGGGCTGGAGCTCCCGGTGGATGCAGCGCCCAGAGGTACGACAGGCGACTGGGAGCCAGAGGCTGGGCTCTGCCCATTGGCCACCAGGGGGGACGCATGGCCACGGCTGCGGGCGTCCATCATCTCAAGGAAGCTGGGGACAGAGGGCAGAGAGTGAGCAGGGAGCAGAGACCCCGCAGCCCCTCCCCAAGGCGTCTCAGCTAACGGGTGGGCGTGTGTGGGACAGGATGGCCCTTCAGCACGCAGGCTCCTGGGCCCTGCCCCTGAGCCACGCGGCCCTGGTGGTTCCCGGGCACGCCCGCCGGAGCCCTGTGCATCTGGTGAAGTGCCCTGCCCTGCACTTTGCAACAAGGTGTGGGAGAGACTGTAAGACCTTGGAAGCACTGAAGACAAGCTGCTGACCGCAGAGCCGGGGTGCACCCGAGCTCACAGCAGGACCCTCTCACGGGGCTGCTCACTGTCCCTCCACACCTCGGCCCACCGCCCACGGAGGAGCTTGCGAGTACTCAACGCTGTGGGACAGGCAGTGCGGGACAGCACCCCATCTGCACAGTGTGGCCCCTGCCCTCTGAGGAGCACCCTGGCACCTCCTGGTGGGAGCATCCCCTTGTTCCAGGCCCAGGACGGAGCCCTGATGTGATGGGTGGGCAGAAGCACCAGGTGTCACAAAGCGTAGCGGCTTCCAATCCACTGGCTGAGCCTTAATGCCACCCCAAGCAGGGGGATCTCTGGGAAGAGGGTGGGCCTATCTGGGGTGCCTCCATACAGCCACCTCTAGGGATGGTGGGGGCCCCATGTCTATGCTCCCCACCATTGCTCTGCATTGGGAGGTAGTGGTAGGGGGTCTCCGACCTGGGACCCTGGTGTGCCCCTGCCCAGTAGGCGGCAATGGCCGCAAGCCCAGCTCATGGCAGGGACACCTGCTGGAGGCGCATAGCTGGCCCTCAGACCACCACAGCACCCCCCTGACCCAGGAGCACCTAGCAGTGTTATGGCGCACAGCGGGACCCACTGTCCGCCCCTGGAGCATGGGGGCCACCAGATCTGCCAACACGCACGCCGCCGAGGCGTTTAAAAACGAACTACCAGGAAAATCACCATCCAAAAAGCCACTCTGCCTCCAGGGACCAGGAGCCTCCACTCCTGCCCCTTGTGCCAGCCTGCCTCCTGGCCACAGTGAGCTCCAGACCAGGAACCCGGAGACCCCATCCTAAGCCAGGGTCCATATGGGGAACCTGAGCACCAAAGCAGGGGCGGTGTCTGTGCTGAGCCAGCTGGTCCCAGGGGCCGCAGTCGGGGCAGGATGCCTGCACAGCTGGGCCCCGTCATGAGCCCACCCGCTCTGTGGTCACCACACCCATGTCCCAGGTGGCCGTTAGGCAGTCACTGCACACACTGGTGAGGTCAATCGTATGACCGAGCCCTGTGCGGCCACACTGTGACCACAGACTCCCAGCCGCCCCATGAGCTCTGTGGGATCAGCTCTCTCGCCCAGTAGAGATGACACAGTCCCCCAGTGCCTGGTGGCACACAGAGGGTCCCTACGGTTCCCCAGGGAGTGTCTGTCCCACTGTCCCCAGGGGACCAGGAGCCTCTGGAGGAGCCGAGTATCTGCTTCCAGAGGAAAAGCTGCTCCATTTAAAATTTTAATCTCCCTGCTCTAGACGGTGTGGGACTGTAAATATTTCATTGTTGCACATTAATAATAAAAGCCGCTGTACAGAACAAGAGGGCCACCGTCTCTCTCTTCCTCGGGGGGCCTGGGCTGGGCTGTGGGAGAGCCCCCCACCTCCCTGCTCCCTGAGCACGGTCACGCTCCCAGCTGAGACGGCGCACGACTTGAGGAGCATCACTGCTCCTACCGATGGATCTGTCCTGATGTGCAGCCCCAGGTCTCCCTGCCTACAGCCCCGTCTGCAGACATGCACGTGGGGCCTGAGGGAGGCCTGATGGATGCCTGGGCTGGCAGTGGGACTGGGATAGGGCACCCAGCGTCTGCCTCTGTGAGGGTCTACGAGGCCGCGTGTCCCATGGGGCAGGAACAGCCCTGCAGGGTGGCCGACTTACATCTCGTAGTTCTGGTCCTCAGTCTCCTGCTGCACCGACAGCTCTTCCAGCGTGGCATCCACGTCCAGCTGGTTGGTCTCCAACTGCCGCAGCAACGTCTCTCTCTAAAGAAGGGAGAGGGGACCTCAGCAGAAAGGCCCTACGCACCCGTAAAGCAGAACCGTGGGGCGCCACCCCTCGCAACGTCCGAGCACAGAGCTGCGCCTCAGCCGGGCCGGCACATGGGTGGTGTGATTTCCTGCCACAGCCCTGTCCCCAGGCGGTCAGCACAACTCACAGCCACTCGGGGTGGGCACTGGCAATGTGACAAACCTCCCTAGGAAGCCGTCACGGCTCAAGCCCACGTGCTTCCCGAAGGTTTCAAGTCCCCAGCACATGTGTGAACAGGGAACTCCCTGTGCCTCTTCTACCTAAGTGGGGGCACCCTCATGCCAAAGGGACCTGTGTCAGCACTCGGCGCCTGCACGTCCACCCCCATGACCTGCCAAACGTCCCACTGCTTTCCCGAGGCCTGGCGTGGAGCTGGCGGCACAGCCCTGGGCACCCACAGAACCGGGGGGGTGGCCTCCTGGAGAGAGCCTGCTCCCCAGCTGTGCCTCGGGCAGAGCGCGTCCGCTCCTGGTTCTAATGCCTGATCCGACCCAGCGCCTAGGCCTGCATGTCCGCGCAGCCACCAGACCAAGGTAAGGAAAACGGAAAGGCCAGCCTCCCAGATGCACTGGCCAAGTGCTCCAGGGCCACCTGTGGGGAGCGGTGCCAGCCGAGACAGCGCGGGCCTGCGCGTGCCCTCCGCTGTGGCTCTCCCGGACAGGACTCCAACAGCCGGGGCAGGAGACGCGGGCGCCGGGCCTGACCACTGAACTGACCATGGGGCGACACCAATACTGCAGTGACAAAACCCCAACGGGGGGCATCTTACAACGGGAGGGGTCTGTAGAAGGGGCGCTGCATGAGTGACGGACCCACTTTCCAAATCACAACATGCTTTAGGAGCGACAGAGACCTGTCAGCAACCTGTCTTTGGATCCCACTGGAACCCAACAAGGAAAACCTGAGGGGCCGGCAGAGCCCCCCAAGAATGGCCACACGTTTTGGGAAGAGCTTCCTGTCAGCTCTTCACCTGAGATAGGGCCTGGCCGTGTTAAAGGGCATCCTGACCCCTCAGAGAAGCACGAGGTGTTCACAGCTGAAGTGAAAATGGCCCGGGACCGCCACTCCCCCACCAGGGAGGGCAGAGGGCCGGGCCGGGGGTGTCCTCACAGTGCACCAGCTCCAGTCCAAGATCCAAACCAGTGACGTCCCGGGCAAACCACTATAGCTGCGTCCTCGGGGTCAGGAAGCATGGGACCTGGGCCGCACTGCGGGGCCTACCTGCAGCTGCAGAAACGGGATGTTGAAGAACTTGTGAAGGTACTTCAGGCCAAAACTGTTCTTCATGGAAGACTCAGCGTAGCGGAAATAGGAGGCGCCGGGGGGCCTGTCATTGAGGAAAGCCTGAGACGCAGCGGGCAGAGTGCGGGAGCCGTGCGACCTCCTTCCATGCCACCACGGGGCCACGCCGGCCAAGGCTGCCACACAACTCAGGACAGACACAAGGGCGGCGCCCAGCCGTGGGGCCCAGTGTGGTGGGGACAGGGCGGTGACGGGAAGGGGACGGGGGATGGGACGGGACGGTGGAGGGGATGGGGAGGGAGCTGATGGCCTGTGAACTGCACTCGGCACCCGGCTGCCTCACAGAAGCCCTAACGAGCAGTGCAGTGCACGAGGGCTGCCTGTCTTCGTGAGGCAGGAGGCCACTAAGGAGCCCCACCCCACACGCTGCAGGGAGGAGAGTCCTGCCAGCCGCACCCACCTGTCCAGGTGGTCAATGAGGTCGCGCACGTCGTCAGGCAGGATGACCCGGTGCTCGCCCATGTCGCGGTAGTTGCCCAGTACGCACACGGGGACGTGGGACGGCACTTTGGGCAGCTCGCGCAGGATGTAGTTGAAGGTCCTGTGGGGATGGGGCGGTGAGGGCGAGGCACGCTCACCTGGGCGCTCACCTGGGCGGCACGCTCACCTGGGCGCTCACCTGGGCGCTCACCTGGCCGGCACAGCGGAGTGGCGAGAGTGAGTGCGCCTGCCGAGAGGGGCCGAGGCCACCGTCCCTCTCCCTCCCGACTGGGGCCCTCCCTGTTCCCCTAGGTCTCACACCCCATGTGTCCACGCCACACAGACGGCTGCCCAGGCCCATGTGCTTGTCAGGGCCGGTCTCGGGACCAACGTCCGAAGGCGCACGGCTGAGCTCACGCCCCGTGCTGGGGCTGAAGGATGGCTCGGGTCTGTGGTCACCTGGATCAGGGCACATGTGGCAGCTTGTGGGGACCTGCTGGCATGGCACTGCAGGCGTTAGGCTTTGCAGGGCGCCCTGGACCAGCCTCCAAATGGCGTGTAAACAGTGACTGGCAGCCCCAGCATGACACCTTGCTCCCGAGGAGGCCAGAAGCTGAGCGTGGCTTTGCTCTGACTCACACCCAGCAGGTAAGCTGACCATTAGCACAGGCCAGCGCATCTCCAGCCCTCCAGGAGCCCCACCCCGAGGGGAGAGGGTCTTATCGGCCCCCAGCCTTCGGCCCCAAATACCCCCAACAGGCCTCGGGCCTCCAACACGGCCCATGTCACTGGCGGCCTGCTTTACGTGTTCTCCACATTCGCACAGCTGGCTCTAGAAGCCTGCACCGACCTGCCCAGGCACTGTCTGGTTGCCTAAAAGGCTGCGAGGCCCTGCCCGGCGGTCTGACCACCCAGCTCCCTGGTCTCCACAGGCTGAGTGGGCTTCTGCTCCTGCCTGGACCTGCCGGCCGTGCCCACCATTCACACTGTGGCCGGGATGGGGACCACGCGCTCTATCTGGCCACGTTTCTTGCCCGACTTAGAGCTCCAGGGGCCCACCTCCTGCCTCCCTGCCCACATGCACCCCCGGCTGTCTCCAAACTGCTCTCCTCCCTTGGTGCAAAGGGCCGCGGAGGGTGTGCTGGGACACGGATGCGACGCTCACAGCCCACCCTGGAGCTGGCATGCCGTTAAGCATCTAGGCCATGGTGGCCGGAGGCAAAAGCATGGGTGACCCCCCCGCCCCAGCCACGCGGATCACAGTTGGTCACAATGAAGAATGCTGCGCTCCCCCTGTTGTGCCTGAGGGGGGGAGCTGCCGCTTTTCAGACACCTGGGTCTTGTGTGCTGACCCCGCTACGCTGTACGTGGCGCGTTGCTGTGCCATAACCTCCTCCCAGGTGTCCACCCTGAGGCGCCACCCCAGACCACCAGAGGCTTCTCACACGAGGGCCAGTCGGGCCACAGGACGCTGCTCGTGGTGACTCGGGGCACGATGCAGGGGCTGAGGTTGCGTTACCTGGGAGCTGCTGGGCTGAGGTGGGTGGCAGCCTGAACGCTGGCCCCAGCTGCGGCTGCAGCAGATCAGGGTCCAGGCCTGTGGCCCCAGCATGTAGTGCACTGCAGCCAGTATCTGCACCCCAACATCCAGAGCCCCAGTGTAGCAACCATGTGGGGTGTGCCTGTGTGACAGCAGCATCTGCACCCTGACACCCGGAGCCCTGGTGTGGTAACCATGTGGGGTGCTCCTACACAACAGCAGTGTCTGCACCCCAATACCCGGAGCCCTGGTGTAACCGTGTGGGGTGCTCCTGCGTGACAGCAGCGTGCCCAGAGGCCGTGCAGTAAGACCTCAAACCTGTAGAAACACTGCATTTTCCACGTGCGTGTGTAACATACAGAAAAAAATCTGGGAGGGGGTCACCGAAATGCTCCAGGGACGGTTTCTGGGGGGCGGGGCTGCACTTCCCTGTCTTCTACAGCAAACAGGGGTTACATTGGCAACAGTGGCAATGAAAAAACAGAGTAAGCCAGCAAGGCAGACACCCCACGGGCCATCTCTCAAACAAGCCGCCAGTGGATCCCAGCTCCGCATTTCCAAGAAGCCCATCCTCAGGGGTGTGCAGGAGCCCACCGAGGCGGCGTTGGGACCATGGACTCTGGAGGGTCCCACTGTGCCCTGCCCGGGACAGCTGCCCCTTGGCCTGCACTGCATGGGCACATGGAGCGTGGACTCTGGAGGGTCCCACTGTGCCCTGCCCGGGACGGCTGCCCCTTGGCCTGCACTGCATGGGCACATGGAGCGTGGACTCTGGAGGGTCCCACTGTGCCCTGCCCGGGACGGCTGCCCCTTGGCCTGCACTGCATGGGCACATGGAGCGTGGACTCTGGAGGGTCCCACTGTGCCCTGCCCGGGACGGCTGCCCCTTGGCCTGCACTGCATGGGCACATGGAGCGTGGACTCTGGAGGGTCCCACTGTGCCCTGCCCGGGACGGCTGCCCCTTGGCCTGCACTGCATGGGCACATGGAGCGTGGACTCTGGAGGGTCCCACTGTGCCCTGCCCGGGACAACGACCCCCTGGCCTGCACCGTGTGTGAGCATGTGGCTCATGCTGAACACCCACTTCCCTCTGGATCTGGATCCAGACACGCCAGGCAAGGCGGCCACGTGACCACCCCGTGACAACGCTGGGTGCTGGTTTTCAGTGGTGGGCGGGTCACACGTGTTGTCACAGCTCACCGCTGGGGAATGCTGTGCCCCCGTGACTCATGGGGAGAGGACTCGGGAGCTCACACCTGGTGTCCCAGATCCCGCCCCATGCGCCTCCTCCCTTTGACTGGGCTCTGGGTCCTTTCCTGGGATCATCTGAGTCCTGGGGGTCCTCCTACTCAATTGCCAAGCCTGGGGGTGGTCTTGGGGACCCCCAACACAAATAGCTACCTGATAGGACCACATTTTACAGAACTGGTGTTGCCTGGCCTTGTCAGCAGCCCAGCTGGCCCGTGTGCAGAAGTGAGCTGGTGCCCACTGGTGCTCTGCCCAGCCACGTTCCCACTGCGTGCCTGCCCACAGTGGCCTGCAATGTCACCTGAACAGACAGCATGGCCCATGGCATTACAAGGTACAGAGACAGCCAGCAGCCCCCTTACCACTGCTTGGTGATGTCAAACATCATGACCACCCCATTACAGTTCTTGTACACGTCCAGGAACTCGGCATCCAGCGCCATCTCGGACTCCGCCTAGGAACAGGGGGGACACATGGAAATGACGGGGCTCCACAACCATCTGAGGAGACTCAGCGGGACTCACAGCCTGAAGAAATCAGGCAGAACCAATCCCACGTGGGGAAGAGGTGTGCCGAGTGAACAAAACTGCCAGACAAGCCCGAAATAACTCGGTGTCCAGCTCAGGGACTTCGTTCTGAGGGGCCGGGCAGCAGTGCGGGGTGGGCGGTGGGGCCGGGCGGCTGCGTGGGGCAGCCCTGGGCCCACCATGATGCGTGGCCGGCTCCCGCAGCCCTTCAGCAGCCCCCAGCTCCAGGTCTGCCCAACCGACCACCAGCACGCCCCACCAGGGTGCAGGGATGCTCAAAGCCAACACTCGGGAAACACAAGGAACCAGAGCAGGCATGGCCCCGCAGTGAGGCTGCGTGCTGAACTGAGGGTAAAGTGCCTGCAGAGAACCTTCTAGAAGCAGAACTGGGGCGGGGCCGCATACAGGGAGGACAGTGTCAGGCCAGCCAGGAGGCCATTTCTGGGTGTGGTGCTGCCGCAGGCAGGCCCTCACTGGACCTCTGCGATTTCACCTTCCCCACCTAACGGCAAGAGGGGCGTGCGGCCTCACTGCCTGTCAGGACAGGAGGGACACGCCAACAGCCCCGAACAACAGAAAAGCTCTCCCGTGTTGCGGGGGTGATGGTCACACTAAGGAAACAGGCAGTCTGTCAGTGTCCTTGGTGAGGGGTGGCAGGGCGGCGCCGGCCCACGGCCAGCCCAACTCCCACTGAGGGCCCTGCCTCCCCCGGGGGCAAAGGGGTGCCCAGAGCGAGCCCCAGGCACCTGAGCCGCCCCCTCAGAGCCGGCACTCACAATCATGGGCCTAGAGACAACTCACAGCTGACCCGTGGGCCACCTGGCCTGTGACGGGGGGTGGAACCCGCCGACTGAGGTCAAGGCTCCGCCGGCCGCCACAGCCTACACGAGGGCTCAGCCCCAGGTGGTGGTCACGTGGCAGACAACACAGACGACCCCGGCCTCGCGCCAGAGGGCCACCGTGGGTCAGCAGCCCCTTCGCACAGGGGTTCCTGCGTCCCCCCGGGGGTGCGCTTACCTCCTGAGGGTCGTTCTCCATTTTCAAGCCATCGCCTCGCTTTTTGCATTTTCCTGGTTAAAACACAAACAGAAGTTATGCGTCAGAACTGCTGGGCCCAGGGCCGCCCAGAGGAGCCCCCTGCCCACCTCGCTCCCCCAGCCCCCTGCTGTAGCCACGTCCCTCAGGTGAGCTGCAGCCCGGGCTGGGCCACCTGCCTGTCATGGCCCCAGGGAGGCCCCGTAGGCGTCCCATGGCAAGAAGCCCGAGGGCCCACTGCCCACAGGCGGCTTTGGGAGAAAGACACGCGTGGGCCTTCACAGCGGCTGGGGCAAGGACGGGGTGCGGTCGGCTCTGGGGGCCTGGGCCTGGAGCTGCAGCACGGCCCAAGGGGGGTTCAGGCGGCTGGTAGAACACGGGGTGCCCTCAGGGAGCTGCTCCAGCTGCACCACCCTGGGCAGGTGGCCATCTAGAACCCGGTCCAGGTGACCCAGGTGAGCATTACATCCTGTACCCCGGCCTTGATGTGACAGGAAGGCACCTCACCTCCGTGGCTTCCCCATGTCCCACACGCCCACACAGGGGCAGTTGCCAAGCCCGAGCAGGCCTGGCTTTGCAAGGGCCGTGATGAAGGCAGACTGGCTGTTGCCATGGCCCCTAGGGGCTCAGGAGCTGGACCATAGGACTCAGGGCGGGGTGTGGGGGTCCTGGCGGGGACCTGGGGCAGGAAGAGGACGTGGAGGAGAAACCGGGGTACCCAGACAGTCTGGAGTCCCGTGCACAGCAGTGTTCCAGTGTGGGTTCTCAGCTGTGAGAAATGTGCTGCCAGGCCCCGCCAGGTTCGGGCGCACCTTGCAGGGGACAGCGGCTGCCTGTGCACCTGCTGGGCCAGCCCGCCAGCCGAGGGCACAGATATCCGCCCAGAGGGACCCAGCCTAGACGGCTGGCGCAGTTCGGACTAAAGGCCCAGGTGGAATTCAGCTCCCCACAGGGACCGGCAGTCGGGATCCCACACTGCACCTCAGCCAGTCACACCCAGGAGGCTGTGGCCAGGCGGGGCAAGGTCACGCCATCCTGCCTCAGAGAGGAAGTAGCGTGTGGACAGACACGGCCTCCTGTACTCCTGGCCACTCAGGAGGTGGAAAGGCGGCCAAACCCGAACCCCATGGCTCCCCAACCTTTGTGAGGGGGCTGGGCTCGCTGCCGGCGGGCTGGCCCCCGCGTGCCCACACACGCGCACACACACACACACCCCTGCCTGCAGCCCCGCATCTGCAAGCCTCTGCCTGGGGCTGCAGCCACTGTGTCTACCACAGGAACGGAGACGGGGTCAGGGCTGGGCGTGCCCTCCAGCCGGGCTTCTCCTTCCTCCGCAGAACCGCAGAACTGCCGCTATTTAACCCAAACTCTGCCCCCCAGACACAGGCGCGGGGAGTGAGGCCCAGGGACTGGACGTGGAGGCCCAGCTCAAGGAGGTGCAGGCTCCTTTCAGGTGGGGCCCTGTACTGGAGGCCACGTCACGCCTGCACATAGCACACACGTACACAAGGCGACACGGCCCAGAGCTGGGGCGAGCGCTCACCCAGCACGTCCCCAGGGAGGAACTTGGGGCCTGAGTGCAAGGAGAAGATGGCATGGAGGTGAGACAGTGGCCTGAGGACAGATGTGGCCGTCCCCACGAGTGGAACTGGAACTCCCACCACCAGGGACACACACCTGCAGCCGGGGGCTGCGCTGTGGGTCTGGAACGACTTTGTGCTTGTCTTGAGAAGGCACACACAGCCCTGCCCCGGCCCCCAGCTGCGACCGCCATCACACAGACCTCGTCCACCCCGAGAGGAGCCTCCCTTGAAGCGAGGGAGGCTGGCCCTGGCCGGGCCCGGGGAGCTCCGGAATGGCCCCCACATCCACCCTGCTGCCTGAGCTCTGTGGCTCGGGGAGAGGCCAGCGCGGGGACTAACGTCCCAGTCACCAGGCTTAGGAGGAAGCCAGGATCAGCATCCAGCAGAGGGCAATCCCTCACAGCCCTGAGCACAGCGGCTGCCCTGACACGGTTCCAGATCACACAGGGCAGGGGGCCAGGACAGTGCTCCACGGGACCACGGGGGGTCAGGACAATGCTCCACGGGACCACACCGGGGGGGGGGGTCAGGACAGTGCTCCATGGGACCACACGGGGGGGGGGTCAGGACAGTGCTCCACGGGACCACACAGCGGGGGGGGGTCAGGACAGTGCCACACACGGGGGGGTCAGGACAGTACTCCACGGGACCACACACGGTGGGGTCAGGACAGTACTCCACGGGACCACACAGCGGGGGGGGGTCAGGACAGTGCCACACACGGGGGGGTCAGGACAGTACTCCACGGGACCACACACGGTGGGGTCAGGACAGTACTCCACGGGACCACGGGGGGTCAGGACAGTGCTCCACGGGACCATGTACGGGGGGAGGGCAACAGGGACTAGGACAGCTGGTTCTACAGGACAGCACCCCAGGATGTCCTCATGGTGGGGGGCGGGGGGAGGGCGTGCACGTGAATGAAACAGTAAAGAGAAAAAGACTTAGACACATGCAGCTCACCTTTGTCAACCACGTCCCAGACCTCAACTTTCACAATGTCATCAGTGGCTGAAATGGGAAAAATTCTTATGATTAACACCTGGAGTAAACTTCTGGTTTGCAAAGAGGCTTCTGGGGGCCACCGCTTGTGCCCACTCTCCAAGCACACATCTCCCCTTGGAGGGAGCTGCCGATGCTCCCTCATCCACCCGTCGCCTGCCTCATGTCCCCTTGCCTGCCTCCCTCACCTGCCCCCACGTCCCCTCATCTGCCCCCCTCACCCACCTCCCACATGCCCCCACATCCCCTCACCTGCCCCCACGTCCCCTCGCTTGCCCCCACGTCCCCTCACCTGCCCCACGTCCCCTCGCCTGCACCCCTCGCCTACCCCCACGTCCCCTCGTCTGCACCCCTCGCCTGTCCCCACATCCACTCGCCAGCCCCCACGTCCCCTCGCCTGCCCCCACGTCCCCTTGCCTGCACCCCTCACCTGCCCCCGTCCCCTCGCCTGCACCCCTCACCTGTACCCCTCACCTGCCCCGACATCCCCTCACCTGCACTTCTTGCCTGCCCCACATCCCCTCACTTGCCCCCCTCGCCCAGTGCCCCGAAAGCTGCCCCCGACACCCCCATTGTGCTCTGGGTCACTCCCCAGGCCCCGTGGTGCATTCCCTCTCCTCTTTCAGGCTTTTGCTCAAATGCAGCCCTCTTAGTAAGACACCCACAGACAGCGCACCCCCTAGAGCCCCGCCCAGCGCTCACCCCTCTGCCCCAGCAGGCAGCAGCCCCTCCCGTGTCTGCAGCTGCACCCACGTGTGAGGGGAGGGCAGGCCCGGGGCTGGGGTGGTGCGAGGGGGGCAGCTGCCCTGGCCGCACCCCTGGCCGTGCACGACCCCAGCATCCTTGCCAACACCCCTCACCCCCTCGCCTCTCGGGGCACAGAGGGGCTCGCTACCAGTCAGGTCACACAGTGGGGGGAGGGGGCACCTGGGGACACCTAGGAGATTCAAGTGTGATGTCACTCCCTTTTATTTCCTCTGACTATTCTGCTTCCTCGTCCACTGAGCTGCTCACACGTGCTTTGGAGACTGCAGGACGCAGACAACTGCTGGGCCGTGGAGACCGTGCCTCCCCAGCTGTCACTCGTCACCCTGTGAGACACCTTGGGATGTGAGGCCACGTGTACCAGCACAGAAGCACCCCAGGCCTCCTGACGCCACATGGCTGTCTTCCTGAGTCCACTGGCTTCTCCGTTCTCACACCCTCATGGGAGTGTGCCCAGCCGTCCTGTCTCCTCCCTCCATCCAGAGCGACTGCCCTGCTGTGCCTGGAGGGATGAGCAGGTGACTCCTGGTCGTGGACCCCAGTGTGGGGACGATGGGATCACCCACCCACGCTCCGCATGCTCCTCCTCGCCCCGAGGGTAAAGGGAGCCACACCACCCACCCACGTAGCACCGAGAAGGAAGCCCCGGAGTGGGGTGGGTTCCTCTGTGTTAGCCCCACAGGCTCGGGGTCCCCGCCAGCCCAGTGCCACCCCCAGGCTCCCCAGAGCCAGTGGAGCCCCGTGACGGGAGCATAGGTGATGCTGAATTATGTGGAGGCCGAGGACAGTCCTAGGGGACATTCACACACAGATGTTCACATGCAGTTACACGTGAGCATTCATACACGGGCAGTCACACGGGATGGTCACATGTGAGCACGCACACATGGGATGGTCACACGTGAGCATTCACACACGGGCAGTCACAC